TGAAATTCAACTTTATTTTCCTTAGGTGTTATCACAAATGTTAAAGTGTTTAAAGGACCAAGGATAGTACTTATAAATTTTGACAGGGCTTCATTTTGACCTTTTCTCCCCAAATAGTTGATAGCAATAATCAATACCAGTTGAAATACCAAAGAGGCAGCCTTTCCCCGATACCCATACCACTTATGGGCCCTTGCTGAATGGTCATTAATACGTATGAATAAATTCAGCTAAGTAAGATTTAGAATGTGGTAAAATGTTGGCCATAAATGAAATCAAAGATAACTAATTAAAAGGCTTTAACCGAAAATTTCTGAAAAGGTGTTTACTGTGCTATTAAAGATGATGTTAAATAACAGAAATTAAAAGAATCGAGAGAGATTACAATACCACAAAAGTGTCTGAATAGGAAAATTATGTTTCCTCAGTTGGTAGCCAGTACATGCAAATCTTTTGATCTAAATGTAGAAATTCTCACAAAATGTACCAGGAGAACATTTCTGAAAGTAGTCATTATGTTTAAACATTTACTATTTCCTTATAATATGCACACCATCAAAGTGAAGTTATGTTTTGGGTTGGTAATTGATATCTCTTAACTTTCATTCTAGTTTCCTAGAATCAAGATGATTAAGACTAAGGAGTTGAAATGAAGGTAGAAGAATCCATACTATAGCATTCCAAGCTGTGTTTTCAAAGCTAACTCATTTCTTTGTTTCAAAGGGAAAAAAAAGATTCTTCCTTTTAAAATCTAGTATTAGTATAGCCAATGGAAATTAGACAAATCTTACAAATTGTAAACCTACAGTAGCAACTATAGTATTTGTTACATTAGACAATGATAGAGGTATCCCTAGTATATTGTTTGGAGTATAGAAGTTACTCCAAAAAATTTGTTGGGTGAATGAAAACTAGGGTATTTTGCAAAATTGGGCATCACAGAATGTTACAAGTCATCCAGTCCAACTCATTCACAACACCTGTCCCCTGCAGTCCCATTTTATATATAAGGAGACTATATAACCTTTGACACTCACAGATGCTCGTGAGGTTTAGCTCTACCCACCTACTGGAAGCAATCAATCATTCTCAGCAGGGGGGTGTTTGACTAAACAGTATAAATAAACATTTCTACACTATTTATCTTTTATAGGATACTGTTCTTTAAAATTAATGCAATAATTTCTGTCACTTAGGTTAGATTTTAAAAAGAAAAAAGGAGAAATGTATCTAATCAGATTTAAGATTATGCATTGAAGAGTGAACTCACTTTTCAGAGACCGGGGAATTTAAAATAACTACTTAGGTTAGAATTTCTTCCTGAGAGCCATGTTATTCTAAATAGTTTTTTTTTCCTAGTTTGAACTGCATTTTAAGTCACTATTTAAGCTGTTATAAGATTACTGTAAAAAGTTGCAAAGTAATTTTTAGTCATCACCTAAAATGAAATTTGAAAGTCAACTCAACAGCATGTTTTATTCTAAATACCTTTAGGACTTGAAATATTTTTTAACAGCTTATAATATCCTGCCTCCACTCTTTGCTTTTCTTCTAGGCACTCCCACCTCTTGCTACTGTGTCCAATATTTCTATAGCACATGTAACTTTGTGTTTCCCTGCCCGTGTATATATACACTCCTGAATGTTCAACAAAAAAAGTTATTAAAAAGCAGAGAGAACTCGAAATATTTCTTATACTGCCACATGTCTTTTACGCCTTGGGCGCACACTATATTACATGGTTGTATTAATGCTTAAAACTAAGCCTTCGATGAATTATACCAATGTGTTCTATGTTCTCAATGATTATATTTAGATATCTGAATCCTTCTGAGTGTTATTTTATAGCCAAACAAAAAAACTTTATTAAAAATGTTGAAAAGTATAAAAAAAGTAATTATAAATTAGCAATGCCCAGTTTAAAAAAGCACTTATTTTCTTATCCTTATACAGAACAAGCAACAGTAATTTGGATATTATTCATTTTCAGCCACCATTTGCCCTAGATGTACTTTACTTAAGACAAGTTTTTAGCTTGTGTTTTGGAGTGAAAATTTACAAGGATACTAAGAAACAACTCTAATAATGTAACTCAGGTATCAAAAAAAAAATACATATGCCATGTTAACATGTGATGACAGCTCATATTACAGCATCTCATAACAGGTAAGTGTTATTTCCAGAGTAAAATTAAGTTACTTTTGTAGCTGTAAGTCAATGTTGTACAAATGGACACTTAAGATTAAGGCATCGTTCTGCTCTGGAGTAGTGCTTCTGTGAATCCAGCGAACTGTACAAAGGCTTCCTTTTTTAAAAAATATATCTTCTGTTATACTTCAATTATTTCAATCCATTGATCATTTTCTTACAAGTGAAATCAAAAATATCAGTCCATAATATGTTTTTATACACCTACAAAAAAAACAATTGAATTATTGGTTAAAATTTAATTTTTTATTTCTGAAATATTAATTAAATGTTTCTGTGGGCTAAGGTATAAAGCTGCTACTAGAACAAGACAGGATATGAATTCTTTACTACTACTAATATTATAGTAATAAAGATTTTTATTGGCAGTAAATGAGGGGGTATCACTGACTTTCTTCCCCTGAAGCAATCAAGGGAGTATTTTAGAAGGGAAGATTCTCAACAGTACTTCCTGACTGCTAATTTGGATATCATTTGAGAAGATATTTTATCTACCTATATCTGTTCTAAGATTGGTGCAGGATGTGGGCAAGTTCCCACGGCAACTGTAGAGGAACTGGAGCTGAGGATTCTCAACAACCACAAGCATCAGCCATTATTCTGCCCACATTAAGAAGAAATGTAGACTGAGGACCTGTCTAGGGACCAAGTGCTACTGCACAACTCCAGCTCTTGGTGGCATGGACCTGGCCCTCAATCCCCACATGCAGGTCCTGTAGCTCCTCTTCCGGGGGCAGCCCATTCCGCCCAATGTGACCCCCAACCCCAGTACCTGTACCCTTACTTTGTACTGGGTCTTAGGCTCTGGCTGTAACCCTGGACACAGGCTCTAGGTCCTCTGCAAGGACCTGACTGCTCATGACAAACCTGTGGGCAAGGAAGCAGATGCTCCCCTGAGTTAACACTCCAGATGAGATCCCTCTGGAAAAACGAGCTCCTGCCGCACGGTCACTTATTACACTGCAATGCTCTGTTGTTGTATCTTTTACAAACCAAGTAACATCGATGAACTTCTTAAGTCTTTTTATCAGCCTTTAATTTTAGTCACTCTTCTTTGAATCAAAAGTCACCTTTTTTTCTTAAATTAATAAGGTACTGTTTACTGAAAAGGTTAGCTGTCTACATACCAGTCTGAAACAATTTTTATTAGTTTTGTCATTAATTTACTGATAAATGTTTACTAAGATTGTGCTGGAAGTGGTAAGAAAAATGAGATTGTGGCAGATCTTCCCATCTCTCCTATACTGCCTAAATTTGCTGATATAATTGAAAAGAGTGAAAAAAGATAGAAATGCAAATTGTTCTGAGTTATGAAATATGCAAATAAACTGCATTTGTTAAAGGAAATTACCTTTATACTGTCTTACCTTGCTCTCATTCAAATGGTTAGTAATGAACAAGTGGTACTCAATTTTCTATTGCCACTGTAACATGGTTATGTGTCCCTGTAAGCACATAATTATATATGACGTGACGAAAAAAAGTATTAAGTTTCTGGCTAAGTGGTGAAATTGATTACAGTAAAAACAACTATCACGTGAGCACTAAATAGGCTTACAGTGCCAACTATTTGTCTTCTTGTAGAACCCACAGTCAGCAAAGAGCATTAGGAATCAAAATTCTGGTTTTATGCTTATCCTTGTGAAAATATCCATTAACTTTAAAGATGCTAAGCAGCAATAATTAAGAAGTACACAAATTAGTCCAGGCATGATGGCTTACACTTGTAATCCTAGCACTTTGGGAGGCCGAGGCAGGAGAATCACTTGAGTTTAGGAGTTTGAGGTTGCAGTAAGCTATGATGATGCCATTGCAATCCAGCCTGGGCATCAGAGTGAAACTGGGAGTCAAAAAAAAGAAAAGAAAAGAAATACACAAAATGAACATTCCCCTTCATCTTTCTTTTTAAGAGACAAGGTTTCACTATGTTGCCTAGGCTGGCCTCAAACTCCTGGGATTTCCCTTGATCTTATACAAAGAGTGTAATTATCCTAAAGATACTAATTTAAGAGAATGTTTCAAGTGCTACTAAAAGTCAATAAAACAAACAACAAAAAAAATCTGAAATTCTAATAGCAAACTTTTAGGGTATTTCCTGGAGTTAGTACAAATTTATTTCCAAATCATTTTTCAACAATCCAAGAAGATAATGACAATGCTATTATTATTATCAATAGGAATCACCTCAGATATGTTTTAGGCTATAATGCCTAAAACAGAGTTAAGTGGCCAGACCATATTGTAAACTCAGGTCCAGTTAAAAATCCCACTTCAATTTTATCAACTATTCTATACTGTATCCACAACTCATAATATTTGGCTGGGTAAAAAAAAAAAGAACCCAGCTAAACAGAACAAAAGACATTAGCCACTACACTCTCCTCATTCTCCCCCATTTCCCATAAAAGCTACCAGTAAACATGAACACTTCATATGTATTTTATTTAAAAGTTTCACACATTTTAGCAGTTTAAAATGTCACATTATTTTGATTTTTCCAAATTTATTACATCTGATGATTTTCATTTGAACCAGACACAGCAGTGTTTTCAGGTGTGAACTATTACCTGATCTGACGATGCCTTCTTCAGCTCCATTCTCCAGCCACTGAGATTCACTGTCCAACAAGCGGTTTTTTGATTCACTAAGTGGTTTGATAGGAAAAGGTTGATTTGAGCCAACACTGAAAGGAAGAGCAGGTAATTTAGAAAATAGTTTAATGCTCAATTAGGGGTATTTAATAAATTAATAAGCAGCAAATTAGTACTCCTTCTCCTAAATATGTGAAGGCAACTCATGAGATCTCAGCACGCTGAAAAAACTCTTCAAAAGAAATCTTCAGAAGAAAAATATGCCTGCAACCCCCCATTAAATTGCTCTCTAGACCCAAGAATCTGTATTCCAACACTGCCAATGAAAACAATTAGACAAAAGAAAAAAAGCTCCAGAGGCCAGTCTGAAATGTTTTAATATATGTTAATCAAGAGCCATAAGGTAATACAAGGACAGGTGAGGATCTATGTCTGTGGCCAGTACAAAAAAATTACCTGTCATTTCCCAAGTTTTCTGCTTTCTACCTCTGCAGTATAGATCTAAGGGGAAAAAATGATTCAGTGATTTAGCGTAGACTTATATTTCTAGCTAAGAGATCCAGGAAGGGAGGGAATGAAGGAAGGAAAGAAGGAGGAAAAGGGAACTAATATTTGTTGGGTCCCTATTATGGGTCAGACACTGTGCTAGGCACCTTATACAAATTATCTCAACCCACAAAATTACCTTTGGAGGAAGGAATCATTATCTTTATAGAGGTAAACACTGAGTGTCATAGTTTAAGTGACTTGTTCAGAACCATAACATATTAGAGCAAGGCCTTAGGCTCTAGGTTCTAGGGCCTATGTTCTTCCAATATTAATATGCTAAGCTTGGAACTTAAAATTCCTCTGCCCCTACAATTTATTTCTGTAATAAATATATTTTGATTGTTTCACTTTGATAGAAGTATCTCTAGCTTCTTTAAAATTTCATTTAAAATGAACTATTTCACTGAATTTAAGAAAAACAGTTTGCTTGCCATGGAAATATCTTATGAGAAAATGTTCTCTAAGATGAATTAATGAAAAAAAATTTGTACTTTTTAAATTTCATTATTACTTTGACATGGTAGTTAAAATTTATCAAAGTAAAATAGTGAATAGCACAATTAGTAATTTCTTTGAAAAAACATAACTTAAATAAACCAATATAATCAAATCTTGAAAGAATATTTTAGATGCTTCCTAGTTTGTCCAGATTATTTCCAATTTTATGCGATTATAATGGTTTAACTATTTTTTTTTTTTAATTTTTAAAAATATGGAACGCTTCACGAATTTGTGTGTCATCCTTGCGCAGGGATGCTAATCATCTTTGTATCGTTCCAATTTTAGTATGTGTGCTGCTGGAGTGAGCACTGGTTTAAGTATTAATAAGCAAGCATTCTCTTTCCTACTCTCAGGTGTTCTAGTCTGGATGATAAAAGCATATGGTTATCCTATGTACACTGGCACATCAACCCTCAGTTAAAAAAATTTAAATAGAATTTCCCTTTCCCTATCTGTGCTGTCTTACTGAATTACTACTGCATTTATCCATGAGATATGTACACATAACACATATACACAGTTTGCTTTACAATGAATACAAAAAAGCTTAATGACAAGAAGCACACCTTCTGGCATACTCATTCTGGTTTGTAACAGAAGCTTGTTCTGGATCCATTCCCACAAGGCGAGTTGGAAAACTGCAACCATCACCCAAGCTGCATAATGAAAAATATCAGTAATAATTTAAATTGTATTAAGTTAAAGTGGTCAAATTTAACACCAGCCTTTCAGAGGCATGGCATAAAGAAATTACCATAACTTGTAATTTCTAATTTTGAAGACATAAGCCCTTTTCTTTTATAATTTAAATACATTTAGAAACAATGTCTTCCAGACCTATTAGGATTATGATGCCTAGTATAGCACCTCAAACATAGGTACTCAAATATTGGGGTAACTGACCTGTCTATCACAATCATTTAAGATATAATTCAGGCTCAAACTGAAATTCAAATGTAAGTTCCACATATTTATTCATTCAACAACATTCATCAAATGAATATTTACTGAAGGTCTGGGTACTATTTTTTTTTTTTT